GGTGGGGGTTGGCCTCTTCTCCCAGGTAATGAGCGACTGGACAAGAGGAAAGAGCCTCAAGTTGCACCAGGAGAGGTTTAGATTGGATATAGGAAGAATTTCTTCCCTGAAAGGGTTGTCAAGCACTGGAACAGGCTGCCCAGGGAAGTGGTGGAGTCACCAGCCCTGGAGGTATTTAAAAGGCATGTAGAAGTGGTGCTTAGGGACATGGTTTAGTGGTGGGCCTGACAGTGCTAGGTTAATGGTTGGACTTGATGATCTTAAAAGTCTTTTCCAACCTAAATGATTCTGTGATTCTATACAGTTTGTAAAAGAGACGATTCAGATTGAACTATCTGTAACTTTTTATTGAGTTTTAGCCTTTGCCAAACTAAAGTATTCTAGATTTTTAGTCTTGTGGACTTGACTGAGAAACTTTTACATGAACATTAAGATTGCAAAAGCAAGCACTTAAAACTGAACATTTCCTACCATGTAAGTTGCCTGTAGACTCTGGCTCTATCTTCTGTGTTGTCTGTGTAGGCAGTGTGGCACAGCCTTACATACCCATGGTTAAAAAATCAGACTTATCTCCACTTGCACTGTGGTTTGAGCCACAGCTTCTAGAAGAGTGGGAGATATGTTGCCAGCCTCTTATCCTTAGATAGTTGCTGGTGATAGAGACGAAACTTCAGCTGGATGTTTGGTAGGACAGCATGTATAGATGGCTATGCAACCTCTCCTCCCAGTTCTGACAACCTCATTCCTTTCTCTGACTTCTGCTCTCCTCCAACACGACTCCTAGCTGTTTTGGAAAACCTCACCCATAGTTTTGTGTTTATTGACAAGGTATTTTCACTGCTATATTGTGTATTGTCATTCTACTTTCACTTGAGGACATCTGAGTTGGGAAGGAAAGTCATTCTCCAATCTATATTTAAAATAATAAAAAAATCTTTGAGAAGCCATACAACTTACTGCAACATGAAGATGGGATTGTCTACCCAGAAAGATGTCATTGTTTCCCCACAGCTATACCAGCTGGTCTAATAAAAGAAACTGCATATATTTATAAGCTTGTCTCAGTAATTTAACTACTGTATTCTTGATTTAATACTTCTTAAATATTGGTCGTTTTTATAGGAGATATCCATTGATACTTAGGAACTGAAAGCTTTTTTGTTTCAGCTGAAATATGATTTTACTAATGTAATTCAGATGAAATGGAATTAGATGGAATTAAGGCAAGTTTTAGTACTTAGGGCTTTTTGCCTACATTTTGATTATTAACAGAAAAAAGGAAAGTTCTTTTTAACTTCTTTTTTCTTCACATACATTTAAATACATTTCCAGATTTTTTTAAAAAAAGAGATCCACCAGTCATGACATAGTAGCTGAAAAAAAACCCTTCAGTTTGTTTGTTTGTTTTCTTCTTAGTACTAATTTTGGCCTTTACATGCCTTTACTCATGTTCCTTTTACCCCCATATTTTTTACCAGGTTACCACGAGTGAGAAAAGACAATGGATCCAGACTTTTTAAATGTGTTTACACAGCCTGCTGCACTTAATCAATTCCTAGCTGAGAATGTCATCGCTCAAGGTATGTACTTTATGAACCAGGACAGAAAAAGGACCAAAGAATGACCTGAAGAACCAAGCAGTACCAAGCAGTTTTTATCAGCAATGAGTAAGCTCTGTGTGTGTAATTTGGCTGATGACTCTGTAGAGGCAGATCATGAAGAAGCAACACAAATTCTAGCTGGTTCTTTAACTGAATTTTAAATTTCACATATAAGGATCTGACTAAGTTTGTTTTCCTCTTTCCAGAATTGTCCATCTAGATCTTACTGATTTGAATTACGTTGAAGCATAATTTCCAACAGCAGTCTTAGTAGTCTGATACACCATTTTCTCACTCATAAGGAATCAGTTAAAATAAAAAATGACAGTGTTTCTACATATGGCAGTTAGTGATATTGGGTAATATTAAACTGATAGCAGATTTTACAGCAAACTTGCAATAGTCATACCTAATTGTAATGGATCTTGTTTGCTTCCTTTCATAGGTGAGAAGAAGAAACTCATAAAACCGACCTCAAACAACAATCCCAAATTGGAAGAATTAAAACTGGTACCGTTTCTTTTACTATATTGTTTAACCCTCACCTGAAGTTGTTTTAACCTATTGTGTTAATGCTCAGCCCTGTAAATTACCCAACCCTTTCGGCCCAGTCCCCCACTCTGTACAGATGGGGATGAACTCTGGTTTTGGCACTTGGGCTCCACACAAGTAAACCGGAACTTTTGCATAAGCACAGTGCCAGGATGGCTGGGGCCATGCAGGACCAAGCTTCAAATGCCTGCCCCACCCAAGAATGTTCACTGCTGTGTGTAAGGTGGAGTGTAGATTGAAAAACTTGAGTTTCTTCTTACATGGTACGCCTCCTAACTTGGGCTGTGTGGATGAGCCACACCAGAAGTACTCGGTTGCTCCTTCATTGTAATGATAGTGTAATAGCAATGAAAATCCAGCTGGAACAGTGGACCGTGACTGAAAGCAAACCCTTGGCAGCATTTGCAGTGAGTAAAGAGAGATGTTTGGATACATGCACGTTTGCTGCCCTGATCCCATGATAACAAGTTTTAGGATTGCTGTGCTGATTTGCAACAGTCTTCTGTCTTGTCTTCTACCTCCAGTGGCAGCTGACTTGGCTGCGATGCAGCCTGACTAGGATAGCATAGAGCAGAGGGAGAAGGGATAAAGGATATGCAAGTCACCAAGAATTCAGGAGAAAAGCTTTCAAGGTGTTGTGTGGTACCTTGTCTGCTTGAGGTAACTGTGAAGGATGAATCCTATTTCTTGGGAAATTACTTTATTTCCAAGTAATTTTGAAAATCTCCCCTGTGCATGCAATCACCGTGTTTCTCCAATGGCACAGCCCAGGGGAAGGCTAGCATGCTGAAATTTCCTGGAAGAAAAGTAGCAAGTCTCTTATGAGACCAGCACTTCTGGCATTACTGAGATACTAAAATTGTTATAAATATTGTGAAAACCAACTTAGGCTATGTGCTGATGTGTATTATATGGCATTCATAAATCCATAAATATGTGCATTTCTATATTATGTTTTCTTAAACCTTTGTGCACATTTGATCAAAAAGATTTAATTTTTCTGTCAGGCTTTCACAATGTTTTTACACAAAAGAGAAAATCTGAAAGGTGGTGCTACAAAATGCAATTATGTTGTCTGCAGAGACACTGAATTTGTTCTTTCCAGGCTGCCAAAAATGAAGATTTCGTCAGTTTATGAAGATTTCTGTGAGATTCAGTGTTTAATCCATTTCCCATCAGAGACTCCTTGAACAATGTTCTTCACTGTCTAATTCCTTTTCTTTGGATGATGAAGAGGTGGAAATTGGGTCCCAAGGGAGGCAGTCCTCTGGGTGCCCATCAGTGCCACTGATTGTCGCCTTAATCTAAAGAGTTCATGGCTCCTCTAGAGAAAGATTGGGATGGAGGCGGGGGGGATGGACAGGGAGGTGTCTTCAAGGGAAGAATAGGGGAAGCAAAGAAAGTCCCTTGGGAGAAAGACTCTGTTCTGCTGCATTTTCATTTTGAGGTGGCTTTGGGGAACGAAAGAATGTGAAATGGCTCAGTGTAGTTACTATAAATATCGGACTGCATGTAAAATAGAAGATGGTTACATTTGGAAACTAGTAGCAGATTTCTTGAAGTATTCCTTTTCTCCTTTCCCTGTTCACTCAATTTTAGACACAACGCTCTGCTCTGCAGCTGAGTGAGGCCTCAACAACCAGGCTGAGAGCAGAGTTGTGTGAGCTGCAGGCTGTGAATGTGGCTGTTTGGAGCTGAGATAGCAAACAAGGGGTCTCATAGATCTGTACTCAGCAGTACTTTCTGCTTTTCAGTTCTGCTTCAGCTGGTCATTTTCCCTTTCTGTCAACATATGCGGGTAAAACACATGCTTGGGGAAGTGCTGAGGAGCTCCTTTGGTCTCCTGTGTAGGAGCACAGTGCCCAGAGAAGGGGCTGCAGGGCCAAGGGATGTAACTGGGAACATGGTTCCTTTCCAGTGTAGCCAGCCCTTGGCTTCCTCAGCAGCTTCCTCTTGCAAAGGCAGGAAGGATATTGGAAAGGGCAATAGGACGACTACCACGTAACAAAGGGAAATAAACAAAAAGCTTTTTTTTCCCCAGAAAAGGTATTTGGAGACAGATTAGTACAACATTGCAGGAAGAAAAAGAAAACAAAAATAGTAGAGGAAAGGGAGGAGTGCTAGTAACATGGATGACTACAAGAATCAACAACAGAAACAGTGAAGCCTCTTTTCTTACAAACTTTTGTCTGATGGTTGAATTTGTGAATTCTGTGATGTCTAGTGAAGGCCGGGGTTGGGAAGTGTACTCGGCAAGCTTTTCCCTGATGGAAGTGGGAATAGGGTCTGTCTCTCCACCTGTGTAACTGTTTCTACAAAATTCATAGGAATATGACTTGAGACGTCTGTTTCACTTGAAAATTAGGGAGAACTAACTGATACTTAACTGCCCTTTAAAAAACATCCAAAAAGCACAAAGGAAGTGGAGGTTGAAAGCAAATCAAGATGTGAGATAAGGGACTAAAGAGAAAGGTGAAACACAGTATAGCACTGGGTGCTATGCTGTCTAAACAAGAGTGTAATTGCCAGCCGCTTTGTTTTCCTCTACAGTTATTGATTGACTGGATTAACACAACTCTGAAAGAGGAACACATAGTAGTTAAAAGTCTGGAAGAAGATCTGTATGATGGGCTGGTACTTCATCATCTTTTGGGTAAGCTGCTGCTTTGAGTTTAGCTCACAAACACATCATGGAGGAACTTCCAGATCAGAGAATAAACCTCACTAATCGCAATAGCAGTGATCTGCTGAAGTCTCACTTCTCGCTAACAGAGAAAGCACTACACTCTGAACCATCTGTGATAACTGCAATTCTGAACAAATGCCTGATGACCCACTATTGTTTTTATATAATTATTTTTCTTTTAAGAAAGTTTTTTTTGCCTGCTAGTTAACGTAATAAAAAGGTTAACCTGAAGTGTGAAATTACAGTGCCTCTGAAGGGAAGGAGGGCTTCACAAGCCAGGAGCACAAAGGTGACTTGTGATGCTAGCAGATACATTAGATGGAATCAGCACTATAATTTATATATTTTCCTGCTTTAAAGAAAACATGATAAAAAGTTCCAGGTCTAAAGCACTGGGCTGGAACTGGAACTGATGAAAATCTAAGAGGCTCTCTACACTACAAGGTGCTTGTATGAAGCACTCTTGGAACAGCCTGTTGGCGTATTTCTATTTCTCCATCTCTTCTATCCCTACTTTATTTTTCTTTCCCCTTTCACTCTTTTTGGGAATATCTTTCAAATCATATCTCCTGTTCACCAAGGCTGAGGGCAGCGGCCTGAACAGGATGTCCCTACTTTATTTTTCTTTCCCCTTTCATTCTTTTTGGGGATATCTTTCAAATCATATCTCCTGTTCAGCAAGGCTGAGGGCAGCGGCCTGAACAGGATTGGCTTATTTTCATAGGTTTACTTACCTGAGCAATGAGCTGGGATTTCTTCTATATATGTGAGTTGACATTGCCTTTATACAGTATCTGCAGGGAAGATTCACTTGTCGGATTCCTGTAGCTTCCACTAGGCAAAGGAGGAATGTGGAGTGCTAGGGTTGGGGGATGATGCTGCAAGGAATGACTTGAGTCCTCCCCCTTTTGCAGAGCTTCACTGATTTTACTGAGGCTTTCAGGGAGCGCAGGAGTTTAACAAGGCATACAGCTGTGGGATGTGGGTTTGTGGAAGCTATTAAGTGGTATCAAACATTTAAAACAAGACTTTGTGTGTTTTGCTGTCATTTTATGATTCTGATTTATTTTTATTTTTTTCCTATGGTGGTGTTAAAATACGTCCTTCTCCTTCCTCTGGACTCTCTGTCAAAGAAAACCTAGGATCTCTCAAGCTGGATGTTGACAAGATTGCATTAACAGAAAACAAACAGCGACAGAAACTCTCTGTGATTCTGGAGGCTGTGGCTAAGTGTTTGCAACTGGAAGAAAGTCAGCTGAAATGGAGTGTGGAATGTAGGTGCAGAAGTGAAACTGGAGAAAATTATCCATCACAGGGATTCCTCTGCTATAAGGCTACTATGAGGCAAAGGGGCGCCAGAACAGTAATTAAACAACCTGTTTTCAGTTACTAGTTGAATCAGAAGTGAGACAGAAATATCTGACCCTGACTGGGTCATGCAGGCTGCATCCTCTAAGTGTGTGGCTTGTGGAGCACTTAACAGCCCTCAGCATCCATGCGTATGTCTCAAAAAGGACTTTTAAGGTGTGGCATTGCTGAATTGTGATAATTATGTCAACCCCAATCTGAGGTCCCACCTGTGTTAATGGCCCTCAATGACCTTGGGATCCTCTGCACAGGGAGAATTTGTGATATTAGAGCCAGGTTTACTTGTTTTGCACACTAAACATTGTTTTCTTTCTTTACACGGAATAGCTATCTTGAGAAAGGACTTACTAAGCACACTGCATCTTCTGGTTGCAATAGCAAAACACTTCGAACCCAACCTCTCCATGCCTCCAAATGTTCAAGTGGAAACAATCACCATTGAGGTAACTATAGTTTCAATATTTATTACAGTAGGTCCTAGAGACCTTTCACAAGTCTAACTTTCTTAGAATTAGGCAGAAGTGTGTGTGCAGCTGTGAAAGAGATACTTGTATTTTCTGTGAATTGTGCCTTTTCATTTCTGAGTTTTCTGGACTAGACTATCATTTTGTTCTCAGTTCAGATCCTGGATCTTTAAGAGGGTAGAAGCATTATGCTGTTTTTTCTCTTTGATCTAAAAAAAAGGAATGATCCAACCTGAAAACAGCTATTGATCTCTGTAAAGAAGAAAAAGAAGAAAAAAAAAAAAGAAGAAATTCTGCTCTTACTATCTCTAAGTGTTTTAAAATAGAAGCTTGCACTTGTAAATCGTGACACTGGTTTAATGCTGAGGTTTTATTTCTTCAGGGAAAAGGAGTTTTTATTCCCCTTCCATTGGGGTCACATTTTGGTATTTTTCTCTACAAGCTGAGATCTACGTGCTTTCTTCCTCTATGGTTTCTTAAAGTCAACGCTGGGACTTTAGGAGAACATCAAATATCCTGCAATTTGGGATATAATTGCAAAAATTAACCCCACTGTGTTACAATTTTAACAGAGGGTTTGCAATTCAGTGGTGTTGGGAGCCCGGTCTGTATGGCATGACCTAGTGCTCTTCCCTCTTCAGAGATTCGTGACGTAAACCAAGCATGCCCTTGAGCTCTCTGTGTCACTTCAGGAGGTTTAAAAGTGTCCTGGAGGGACAGATTCTTCTGAGGCTTGGTTCTGCAAAGGTAGCCGTTGTGGCCCCATCCCAGTCGAGCATTTCAGCCGAGGAATGGTCTCTCTGGTATCTAATGGGAGTCCAAATTGTGCATTGCTGCCCATGCTCCTGTCGTGTGGGTGATCGGTGACAGCCCAGACTGAGGAGAGCGGCCCTCCGTCTAGTGCCTTACAGGGCTGTGAGTACCTCAGGTGCGCTGAAATTGGGAAGGATTACCTGTGAAACTGCATCGGAAAGGGCTGTTAACCCTGAGAGAGAGGAGGGGCGATGGAGATAATCGGGTTGTGATAGTGTGCTGATTCCCCGTAGGAGATATCAATACCCCTGGTGGGAACTGTAGTCATTAGGTCAAAAGTGAGGAAAGCCCATGAAGGCACAGCTCAGGAGAGGGTCTGAGGGCTGGCAGGGGGAAATGTTGAGGAGGCCCAAGGGAGACCGGAGAAGGCCTGGCCTTTCGGCAACACGTGTCTGCAGGAAGAACCTGCCTTTGTGCCATGGGGCTGGCCGCGCTCCTCTTCAGCAATGAGTTGACCCAAAGGACTTGACTCAGTATATAAACAGAGAATGTTTTTCACTGCCTGAGAGGAGCAGCAAACACCAAGGACTTCCCTGTGACGAGATGTTTGCCAGGTGCCTGAATAAAGCAGCAGGCATGCCCATCCTCTCCTGTCTCTTCAGATTGTCAGTTGGGTTGGAACACTGGGTTTTTTTGAGGCTATGTGGAGTACTAAGATCTATATAGAGTAAAAAAGGTACAGGGACATAAGCAAAGTTCCCAGGTGGCTTCAGAAATAGTAAGGATTGCCATCTTAAATCTAAGCAACCTGCCAAACCTAAGTCCTCTGCAGGGGGGATTCATCGATAAGTGGCAGGCCATGGTGTGAGGTCATTATCAGGCAGAGGTGACCACCTCCAGTGCTGTAAAACTGGAGAGCCCTTACTGCAGTGAGGTGCACAAGGAAATTGCTGCCTGCCCAAAGCAGCTTGATGGATCATCCATCAAGACTCCCGGCAAACATGCCAGCCTCCGAACTTCAGCTGAGGGACCACGTGCTTCTCCTTTGGCTTCCTCTGATGGGAAAGTAAGTAACTTGTGGTTGAAGAGTGAAGAGAGCAGAAGGAAGCAGCAACCTCTCAACGTGCCTGTACTAATTGTACTGGTATTCTTGAACAAATGCCCTCTAGTAGTCATTTAAGGCAGCAAACAGGTCATGAAAGCCTCATTAATGCTTATGGATTTTTTTTTTGTGTAACAAACCCAGAAATATTTATTGTCCTTTCAACAGAACACCTCCAGAGGATTAAAGACAGCAAATGAGGTGGAATGTATCACAGAAAACAAGTAAGAGGGGATATATCTGGTTTTTGCACTGTCAATCAGAAAGGAAATATTGTGGGTGTTTTCCCCTTTAGAAAAAATAGCTGGGATCATGATGATGACAAAAAGTGTGAACCCAGGCATGCATATGCATGCGAACAGTTTCTCTGATTTCTTCCCCCCCCCCCCCCCCTGTTTTTCCCCCCCCCCCCTTTTTTTTTTTTTTAGCTCTTCAGATTTGGTATTATACCATTGGTATAATAATCTTCTTTATAAAAACATCTCTAAAATAATGTGTATGATTATTTCTGAGGCTTAATGTTTGTCATTGCCATGGAATATAATAACAAATATAATAATAAAAATGCAGTACTGTAAATTTACCTGTCCCAAATTAAACTGGAAATTTTCTAAAGCCACAGTGGTTTACATCTACTTTTAATTTGTTGCTATTGTGTTATTAAATAAAGAGAAAGGAGGCAGTTCTTATTTTACTGTGAAAGAAAGGTTTGAGCTTGCTGCGTTTGTGAGATACTGTCATTATTAAAGGAGTTAAGTAGTAGGATACCACTTACATACTGAGAAAATATGGACATCGTTCTAGGAACTAGAAACAGATTTTCCTACTGTCATCTTGTATATACGAGAACATCTTCAAACTCTAATATCACGAGCAGCTTATTGGAAGAGGATATTATGGATTGTACTTACGAAATAAATGTTCATTGGTCTGCGGGCCAGTTAAAATCTCATATATTTCCAAGAGCCTATACAGATATACAGTGTACTTAAAAATGGCTGTTGGAAAGTTACTCTGACATAAAGTTAATGGCACTTTACACTGTATCTCCTGCTTTATAAGATAGCTGATGACCCAGATAAGCTTTGCTTGTGAATAAGATTAGTTCTGCTGAATGCTTTTTCTAATTCTTGCTTTTTATTGCACTTTTAGGGAGAATTCAGAAGTGCAGTCAAGTAAGTACTGGCATTGCCAAGTTCAGTGTTTCACTGTAATGTGCTATTATACACCACATTCTCATCCATTTTTGCCTCATGATAAAAATCAGTGTGCTCCCACTAGAGTTAATGGAGATTCATGGATTTCTCCTGGTGTTTTTCTCCAAATGTCTGTTCATATCAACACAATATAGTTTGGAAATTGGGTGGTCACTTTGCCTATGGACTACAAGCAACAGATGGGAGGTGAGACGAGATAAAACAGTGGGTTGACCCAACAGAGAAGGCCGGGCTTGGGGCAACGAACGTCTTGGATTTATGCATTGACCTCATTCACTGTTGAAACTATTTATGGGTGTAACAGCTTGAGAATTGTGTTTCTTGTTGCTACCAGTTTCAATGTAGTTTCCTTTCCGCAGTTTGCAAATGAAATTTGCAAACATCCCCAGAGTTTTTACCCTTAGGGCTTTTGAGGGCTGTGAAACACTTAAGGTGAAAAATGTCCACGTGCGCAGAGCCTGCGGGTCTGGGCACTGCTCAGACTTCGGTGTGAGCTGCTCTTCCTTGCCGCAAAGGAGCACGTTGCATCCCTGTGAATCAAGGCAACCATTTTAATTCTCTGCTGTGCCCTTTATGTTAGCACTTTCATTCTTTGCAGAGGTGCAAACTATATCATTTAATACATATTTATCACTTACTCCACTGAGTGGTCTCTAGTGTGGGCTGAAATTGTGAAAAAAAAAAAAAAAAGCAACCTACCCAAACTGTAATTAGGTGTTTCTTCCAGTGGGCTGATTCTGCTGGGAAGAGAAATCTGCAATTCACTCTTCAAAATGCTCTATTTTTGACACAGCTTGCTTAACAAAGAGAGAAATCCCAAAGCGTGGCTCCAGAAGAGGGCTCTCTAGTTTGCCAGACTGTTGCAGGTTTCAGACTGTCGCTCAGTGATTTGTTTGATGGATTCACCTATTTACTGACATTGCTCCTGCAGCAACCCCGTAACAGGGAGAATGGAGAAACCTGAGGAAACCCTTTCACGGCAGAGGCTTCTCTATTGCTGGCTTTTGGGAGGAATCTTCCTTAAGCAAAGCTGCCTTTTCAAGGGTTTCAAATGCTTCGTTCATGCTTGAACCAGAGCAGTCTTGTTACCGGGAGGAGATGTATCCTGCTCTCTCTAAACCTGGGCAGGAAAGGGAGGTGAGGTTGGGCATTCACAGGGACTTCGATGAATCTCATTTCCTTGGAAATCTTTAAACTTGTGCTAGTTCTCTGGTGCAGCACGGCTGGCACCGGCTCAGTGCCTGCCTTTGAAGTGGATGGCAGCACTGGTCATTTTTGAGGTCCATGAATTTTCAGAGGAAGGACAGCATCTCCAAACTCAAAATCTAGTTTGTGGGTTTTTTTGAAGGAAGGGGGCTGTTTTTCTGCAAATTCGATGTAATTGACATTTCTGTTGGGGGAGAGCAGTAAAATGTATAGCTGCTCTTCTCTGCTTACAATATTTTATCCCAGAGGTTCAGGGTTAAAAAAAAACATAACTGAAAAGAGATAAACTGTAGAGATGCAAAACTTAGCCATTGCTCAGACTGGTGGCAGCACAAATCTTGAGAACCTCTGCAGGTGAAAATTACAGAGCTGAATGAAGTAAATTGTTTTCTTTGATGTTATCAGGCTGAAGGGATGCCTGTCACCTCTGATAAATACAAAAGCAGAATTTTTCCCTGTCTCCCTACAACTCTTTTCCTCCTTGGCTTCTAAGGTGTGAACACCTTTCTCCTTCTGGAGCCACTTTAAACCTCTGATCTGACAGTTATTCTAAATAATAACAATTAATGTTGTTTTGATACAGAAGATGATGCCTTTGATGAATTATTTACCCGTGCCCCAGATAAACTAAATGCTGTAAACCAGGTAATTTACTTTTTTAATAGTCATCAAAATTTGTAAGGTAAAACATAATGCATGACTTCACTGAAAAAAGGTATCTTTTCTTCCACCCTCTCCTCCCCTTCTGTTTTCTTTAGGTATTTTTGCAATTTGTCAACCAGCATGTTGGAAAATTAGGATTAAGTGTGCAAGACATCAAATCTCAGGTAGCCTGCTCTAAGCTGTGTGTTAACCATGTTTTGTTAGCCATTTGAGTGTTTCCTCTCACCATTAGGATTCCTCCTTTTTGTTGTAGTAATTTGAATCTTGGCAACGTAACATTTCTAGCTTCAGGTTAAGATATCAGGCTTTAGTGTCTGAAGTTTCTGAAGATAATGAGTAATGAAAAAATACAGCTTTGTATTGAATGCTGCCCTTGTAATGCTACAGGGACTAATTTTCAGAGTCTGCCCAACTACTATGGATGCTCTTTCTATCAGGATGGAAGTAAAGGTGTTCTGACGATTAAAATAAAAGCCAAGTTGATTGCTGGTGCTTAGTGATTTTTAATGCTAGATTTGCTTCACGGTAGGAAGGCCTGATTTTCATTACATTTCAAAGTCCTGTCCTTTGAACGTTGAGCTGCTTTAGAGTCCATGAAATGGCAAGAGAAGTGCTCATTAGGCACCTTGGGATCACCTCCCTGGATGGAGAGGCACAACCGCCTCCGCTGCCACTGCCTCAACAGAGGGCAGCTCGTGCAGAGCCAGGCAGCCACAGCATACTCCCTGTGCCTCTCCGGGAAGCAAGCAAGTGATGGGACGTGAGATCAGGGATGTCCCTCGTGGCTTTTTCATTCCCTACTTCTGCGGACACGCACGCAGAAATCAGCCGACAGCTCTTGCTTTGCTCCAAGCATTCAACACCTTGGTGCAGTGGCAGTCCCTGCAATTTATGGCGTGTGGATGAAAAGCAGAGCCATGCTCCAGTGCTCTTCTGGGTTTTTCTGGTGGGTAACTGTGAGAAAGGGAGTTTTGCAAGTGTTTTGTCATAAATCTTGGGCACTAGGCACAGTTTTCTTTTATTTATAATTATGCGTTTGTCACTTGTCATCGTCTGAAGTCTCTTCCCATCTGGAATAGTTTGTTTTAATCGCTGTCCTTTTACAAGGTCATATTTTCACTAATATGAACTTGGGAGCCTTATGTAACTAAATACGAAGTTCACTGTGGAAGAGATTGAGCTGAATCATTAGGCTGTCTGCTTGCCAGACTACCATTTGAATTCCTTTATTGCTAGAATGGCATTTATCAGAGTAATTTACTAAGAGCCAACATAATAAATAATAACTCAGATCGTTCTTCATCTAGTTTGCAGATGGAGTTACCTTACTTCTGTTAATTGGACAATTGGAGGGTTACTTTCTGAATTTAAGGGATTTCTTCCTGACTCCAGCCAGCACCACAGAGATGGTAGGTTGTTGTTTAATTACTTAGAGCTTCAGGCTTCAAACATCTTGTGTATTTAATGCTTCTGTATGCCAGTGAAGAGCTCTGCATCTTTCTTTAAATGCTACTGCTGCATGTGAAGTCATGTGCGAGCAGTGTTTGCAGGATCGTGGTTTGGGACAGTACAAGTGCACACACTCGATGCTGTTCAAATACCTTGGAACAGGTCAGTGTTGTCAAAATTAGTTATTATCTCATAGCAGGCAAACTATTGTTACTTGCGTTAATTTGGCAGATACGTGCTTCTGAAGCTTTCCGGTGAAATACAGAGGGTCTGTGTGGCAGGGAACTGGTATTGTATCTCCTACAAGTCTGTCCCACAAACAACATTTTTAAGTGGATGACAATTCTTGCATGGCAGAACTGGATCCCTATAGGTTTCCTTACGCTGTCCTAAAAATATACCTTAATCAAGACATGACTAGAACATTTTGAAGTTCCTCTCTGTGCTCAGGAAGCTCTTGATAGTTTATATCTTTTCCTTCCCCAAGGCTGTGAGCTGTAATCTACTCAGCCAGACTTGCTTGACACCTTTTTCAGCCTCTACCAGGAAGATTTCATCAATGCTTTAAAAGAAAAAAGTGGCATGAGCCAGAAGGTAGCGCGTGCTGGACTGCTGGGGTAAATGCCTCCTCCACAGATCTAGGATATTGATAGATTTTATTTGAGATATTTTCAAATTGTCTCTGGTGTGGCTAGGGATTTTCCATTTGGGTCACTGAATAGCTCTGAAAATCTTGAAACCATGGCTATTTTTCCTGGGTTGTATTTAGTTAGATCTCTGAAGGTGAAATGTGTCAGATCCCTTTTGCTTGAGAGCTGCCTGAGAAGGGAATCTCTCCTCTGGCATGGTTTGCATTACAGCTTCCCCATGCAGACGAGGCTTTCATCCGATGCCCGACCTCACTGCAGTTCATCTTCCTGAGCAATATTTATTTGTAATGAAAATTTTCAGAGGTACTGTATTAATTAATAAATACTCCCGTGGAGGTTTTCATCAAAACATTTAAAAGCACAGTTTTCTGAGACCTAGGTTCAAGTTTTGTCAAAAATTCATTGCTGTGAGTTGATGACTGTTTTAAGGTATTAGGAAAATTCAGATTTTTTTTAAAATCTAAGAGTAGGGAAAATATATTTTGAAGGGTTGTATCAAACAAAATCAAAGCATTTCCTTGCAGTTGTTTTTCTTCCCTTTCTCCTCCTCCACTCAGTTTTCAAAATTGTTTGCTTCGGTCCATTGACTTGGAAATTTTTAACATTTCCATTAACTTTATTCAGAGGAAGTCAATGAATATTTTGTTTATTTAAAATTTCATAGATCACCTTTTGGGGTTTGGATCAGTCCTATTCAAGCCTCACAGATCTCTTTCAAGAAGAGATACCCCTACATTTCAGGTACAACTCAGAGCTCAAACTTTCTAGTTCTTACCCTGCATGTGCTGGTCACTGACCTCAGAGAGGAATATAATGGGGTTGGCTACTGGATCAGTACAATTCTTTACATCCTAGTAATTTCACTTTAGCAAAGTTATGTCCAAGTACTGGACTTATCGTTGAACAGTTTACCAAAGTGGTATTTACCATGCGTTTCTCTTCTGATGTTCATTACAAGATGAAAAGCAGGATGACAATATAACTAAAAATATTGGGCAACCATAGTTCAACTGTCATTTGTACATAAAATATGTCTTTCAATTCCCCTGTGCTTTCTAACTCCCTGTCATTTTAGACGTTAATTGGTACAGTAAAGTATGAAAATGTAACCTTTGCTGAGATTTAAAGCATGTCATTTGTGTTACAAAAATGGTGACAACCACACGCACTGTTATGATCGGTGTGGTGCATCAACTTTCCTTCAAGCTGAAAGCTTGTGATTCAAAGCTGATACATACACTTACTGAATCGCAAGGAGAGGAAATTGGGATGGAAGCAGTGATACTGAGGAGGAAATAGGAACAAGAAATAGGGAGGGCAGGAGCCCATGTTAGAGGGACAGGAGGGGTGCGGAAAGCAGGAGCAGAAGTTTGAGAGGTGACCCACCTACAGGTGCAAGAAGACAACACTGCACATGAGGAGGTTTGTTGCAGGGGTTTTGGGTGTTTATTACCAAAAGATGAGGTTTACAAGTAACTGTAATGAAAGTCCAGCTCTGGGCGCTCATGTGTATGGAAAAGTGTGTATTCCGAGACAAAGAACATCATCACAAAATAGGTCAGGCTGAAATTAGGGGTGAATTTTGTGCAGTCAGGAGGTGAAGATGATGATGAAGCAGGGCCCCTGTGCTTAGCAAAACTGTGTGAACTCAGTAGTTTTGCCAGAACAGGCCCAGTGCTGAAACACCCCAAATGTCCTGACCCATATCCTGTTGTAAATCCTAGTGAATTGTCCAGCTCTTTTGAGTCTGGAAGCACAATTGGATGAAACAACTTATTTTTCTAGGTTGCCTTTCTTTGGTAATTACCATTATTTCTGTCTGAAGATTTATTTGAAATCTGCATGTTATCATTCCTTGCAAATCTTATATGCATTACAGAGAGGGAAATGTGCCCCTTTTACCTATGCTGGTTCATTAAGAAAACATTTGATTTATTCATTCTGATCAGAAAATTGTGCAGATCTGTGTGAGCTCAAGCTCTCCTGGCTGCTGACTATCAGAGGAAGAAAACAAGCCCGAATCCAGACTGTCAGTCTCAGTTACTTGTTAGCCAGAGAACCAGGTAAAACATAAATCTGTCGCTTCACTTCAGAACACACAGTTTTTGCTGGGCTTATGTGTGGGGGCCCTCTGTGCTTGTTGTCAGAAGATGATAGGGAACAGCACGGCAGCAGTTATTGTGTGCGTCCCAAAGGAGAAATTGCTCCATAGCCTAAGGAATGTACGAAGAGACAACTGGAAGTTTGTTCAGGTCTTGTTACTTCATCAGAGGAAGGGAGCTTGCTAATTACCAACGAAGTAAACAACTGCCCTAAAGCTACTAGAAGTTAGCAATGGGATGTTGTATTACTTTGGAAAAAATCATTCATGACTACTGCATATGCATGTGATGCTGCTTTTATATGGGGAAGGGAGAGAAAAAACAGTGAGGAAAAATCAGAAAAAACCCACAGCTTAATTTCTCATGAGTAATATTAAGGGATATCATCACCATTGTTACTGTGTATAGACATCCTTATATGTTAAAGCATAAACTTATAGCTCTCAAATATAGCTGATTGAAAGACTTGCAGTCTTTGCAATTCTGAAAGAAATATGGAGAACTTCTTCCTTATGTATTTTTTGCTTGTTCCAGATGTGGTAAGCATATGGGTATTGTTAAAAAAATAGAAGTAAATTCCATGCATCTATTAGATCCAGTTATGAATCTAGCCTGTTTTCCCCGTGGAAACACCCATTAACACAAGACTTTCACATGCAAACTCTGTTTTTAAATAAATGGATTCTTCTGCCCACCTCATGGGATACATTTTGTTGGAGATGGATAAATCTGATTTTATGTGATAATTGGTAGAAATTCTGAAGAGCACTTCATCAAAACTAAGATGATGAGTATAAGCACATATTTATGAATCAGTATCTTCAGCTACTAGAGAAATACTTCTTAAAAACCTCCTGGCCACTGCACTGTTGGGTGGAAAATATTTTCTTTTACATCGATCTCCCTCTCTCTCATCAACAGCTTCACAACGTTAACCTTGCATTGGACTTGCTGGCAGATGGAGGTCTTCTGAATTTTTCTGTGAACTCTGAAGGTGAGTCATGACACGCAAACTTGTCTGGCATAGAATTGCTAATATCCTGGCTCAGCAAAAGTTAGGGTAATTGAAGAAAGTAGGTTCTGCAGTGTAACGCTGACATATTTCATTATATGGCTGCCCCATAGCTCCTCATTCAGAATGAATAGTAATGAAGCTCAGAATTGTTTTGAACAATTTTTATTTCTATACTAAAAATGTTGGATTGTTATAAGTTTAGTAACTTTACACTAAACTGAAACTATTTAGTAAGTCAGTATTTGTTAAAGATTTAAAAGAATGGCAGCTCCTGCGGAAATGACAGGTATTTTCCTATTTCATAAAAGATTTTAGTGCATTAAAGACAAGCTTGCTTCATGTGGGAAGATACCTTGCAGAATATGTCCTGAAAATCAGAAACACTGACCACTCTATTCAAACCCAGCAGAGCTGGTGGATCAGTCTTCTGAATGTGAAATTCATAGGTTTTAAGTTGCTATTCTGCCTAGTTCAGACCTGGGAGCTGAATCTTGACTTCCTACATCCAAGTGAATGCTTTCGTCACTGAGTCAATGTACATGCATGTTCCTCTCTCTTGCCCCACCACAAAAATAAAGTTTCCTTTGGATGAGTCCAATTTTCCAATTAAAAAAAATTGGTTTACAAGCTCCTGGTGGGATGAGGGATGTGGTTACATTGGTGGGTGGTGTTGTGACTGCGTACCCTGACCTCTTGCAGGGCATGTAACCTCACCCCATCATTCCTCCATCAAGCTCAAAAGCTTGTTGTTGAATAAGGAAATCAAATCTTTATTAAAAACAGAAAGCATTTTCTCTTCCCCTCTTAGTTATTCATATGCAAGTGGGCGCATGCGTTGAGTACGTAACCCATGACACCAGGGAGAGAGAAAGATAGAATTTGACTTTCTTTGGTTTTTCTTTTGTTTTCTTTTTCCACTAATGCTTTGGTGATGTTGGCAGCGTGCATGACGGGCACGCATGAATTGTGGGCTTTTTGCCATACTGTACAGAGCTAGGAGTTTGGAAAGCTATTTCTGTTAACTTTGAAAACAGTAATCTGCGTGAGCTCCGATCTGCATGCTGAGATCCACCTTTTGTATGAAAGGAGATAGACCCATGCTTTCTCTCCTTCCCTCTGGCTATTCTGCACTGCCTCAAACACAAAGTTGATCCGTATAAGAAATACTGGTCCCAACATCCACAGGTCCTTTAGCTTCACTGGGAAAATCCTCAGCTAGTGATTGAATTTAATAGGATTTAGAGGTACTTATTACAGCTACACTATTTAGACTTTTCAAGAATCTCATTTACTAGTGTTTCATTGTTAGTCTTTCTCCTGGTGATTTACAGCATAGTAAGAAAAAAAGTAAACCCTCTAAATCAGTTACCCTCTTCCATTGCAATTATTAAATACAAGAGCAGTTTGTCTAGCCAAGAACGTGAAAGCTGAAAACTAAATGAAAAAAGAAAACATCAATGGCAGCAAAACATGATGGAAACGTTACAACCAAAAAATAAAGTGTCAGGTAATTCCCAACATTATTCCTGCCATAAAATAATCATAAAAAAATAAATCTGTAAAGTCCTATGAAATTATCTACTCTGTTCTCTGCTAGTGAAGAATTATTTCTTACTATGCATTATTTATCCTGTCTTCCAGCAAGATAGTGCAGTGAAGGTCCCTTTTCCTTAAGTTTATTTGATAAATAATTTTCTAGCTCTGTAGTTCCTGTTTTGCTTCTTGTTACAATTAGATTGTCTAAGTTCACATTATAATCGGGGAAAGGTGGAAGATTGTTTTTGGCAGCTGCAGTCTCTTTCTATTCCAGGGATTGCTAATACTTCCCATCTGGTTTTGTTGTTTCTGGTTTGTGTATCCACAGATATTGTGAACGGAGATATAAAGGCTACAATGCGGATTCTGTATTGCTTATATTCCAAATACAAGACCAAAGAAACATGAAGAGCAAGGCCAAGATCTTGGACTCTTTTTTTTTTTCTTTTTTTTTTTTTTTCTTCCCCCCTCTAGCATGTCATGGTCTGATTTTTGGATTCCCAGCTCTGCCACTGTTTATGTGCGTGCACTTGTGTTTGACACTTGCAGTATTAACATTGTATATGCAAGTATGTATTCATGCAAGGTTTCACGTATACAGCCTGAGCAACTGTAAGTAAAGGTTGGACTCAATGATCCCAGAAGTCTCTTCCAACCAAATCGGTTCTGTGGTTCTGTCTGTGTCCAGGACCAGAGTACTGTGTAATTCTGTGGCTGTAGCGCTTGCTGCAGACCCTGTCTGTTGTTCTCTCTGAGTGCCCCCAATGCTGCAAAGAAGTACAATGTGTGTTTATTCTAGACTCTGCATTCTTCACTTCTGGAGGTGAATTTGGAAGCTGTTGTTGCAACCTCCCCACTTTCCTGCTTCTAGTCCCTCTGGAAACTAAAGAAGGTGAAAGACTCACCACAGCATCTCTGGGAAGATTGCAGACATGCTTGAAGCTCAAGTTCAAAACCTTCTTTAGACAACTGGCCAACTGTTGTCGGACAAGAGGATATGGATTGGACACCAAATGAATAGGTAGCAGAAATGAAATATGAACTTACCAAGTGTTTGATAAAAGTTTCAGTATTTGCCTGCTCAAATATGGAGAAGGGACTTGGAACAACATGCTGTGTGAGACTGCACTAACAGAGGGGTCTCCTGCACAGCTGTAGCAAGATGCCCTTATTTCCTTGCTAAGCTAATGCCAAACTGTGGCCAGCTCCAACCTGTTGCAGCCCTAATGTAATGTCTTGACTAGTGGGAATTCCGATTCCTGTGTCAGGCATGTTGTAGGAGTGACTAACACACCCACGCTTTCTGTCCGGTAAGAGGTGGATATAGATGCTGGCTTCCTCTGCGGCTGGTAGAAGTAGATAGAAGCCATCATGGGTGGGAGTAGTGAAACTCTCAGCTTCTGTCACTTCTGACATCATTCATACTCATGCTGGGGGTACTCTGAAACTCCGCTGAGGCTCTCTTAGCTGAATTTGCCCAGCAGCTATTCCCAAGCATCCCAGCAGCTCCCTCTGGATGCAGCAAGGCTAGCTGCAATTTATGTTAGCTGTCACCCTCAGTCTTTCCCAGGGGTTTTAAATCAGAACTCCTTCAAAACCTTCATCTACTCCCTTGACCTGAAAATTATGTCACATTTGTGTTGCATAAAGCTTGAATCCAATTAAAAAAAAAGCTGTTTTGATATTGTTTTGGCTTCTTTCTAAACTGGTTTGATTTCCTGTCATCAGTGACTCTGACATTTGATCTCTGATCTGATCCTCCATCTGTGTGTTAAGGGGAAACCAAGGCTCGCCTAGTGCAAGTGCTGACATTTACAGATGAGAATTTGTTGTGTCTACCTCTGGATCACACAGCCTAAGAAAGATCCTTAGATAGCAATGCTGATAAGTCTTTGAGTCCTGCCTTTGAAAATGATAATACTGCACAGCTGCTGGAGGAAGGAGTTCTGCAAATGCCCTGTGCCTAATCCTTTTTGCACCAATAATTACCTTATGTTTTTGCAGAGAAAAATCCAATGTGTGGTGCCAATGAGCTACAAGATCAGCTTGCTTCCCTAGCAAATGTTAGTTGTGTGTGCTGTTTTAAACGATTTAAGTAAAGAATACTTGTTTTTTCATGTGCAAGCCTCCATAGGTATCTTGCTTTATTCCTTAATGGGCTTCAAACAATCAACTGGGAGACCTGAGAAGTTTGTTCTTGCTTCACAGATCCCTGCTGCCGTTGCTGTAACATGGCATGCAGATTGTAGAATAAATCATTAATGAGCAGATAAAACTGGGATGTGGCTTGTGGAGAGCAGGGGCAAAGGGGCAGGAGGGCATTTAGAGGTGATATGGTAGCAACGTGGCCTTTTCCACCTGGGAAGCCAACCTG